CCTCTGCGGTGACTCTGGTCACTCCTTCAAGGAATGCAGCAACAAAGCTGCACCTCCAAATTGCGCGACATGTAAGCGTTTCAAAAGGAAATGCGACCACCCGACTGGTGACGTAAGTTGTCCCGCCCGGAAATTTGCTGAGGACTACTATATTAACACCATAGATTATGAAGGCGCCTAAGAGCGCCAGTAATTAGTTTAGCTTAGTTAGCACATATTTTTATACACTTCTTAGTTAATATTTTAATATGACAAACCAACTTATTGGTGACTTAGATTGTTTTTCTGTGTCAGATACTTGGATTTGTAATGTTGATGAGTGCAAAAACTTTATTAACACTGGGAAAAAAACATTAACATTACTCACGCAAAACATTCGCAGCATAAATAAAAATATGCTGGATTTCCAAGTATTATTGCAAAATATCGATATTAGATGTGATATTATTATTTTAACAGAGTGCTGGTTGACAAATGTCATGACCGTTTTACCAACTCTTACAGGATACAGCTCTCACAGAACGAATAGAATCATTAATCAGAATGATGGCTTAGTAGTTTATGTAAAAAATAATTTAAATATAAGCATTTCAGAACCACAGTTTGCAGATACTAACTGTTTATTAATTACTATAAATCCTGATATAGTAATTATTGCCGTATATAGACCTCCCTCCCAAAATATAGATAAATTTATAGACTCACTTGACACGAATCTAAAGAAAGTGGCATCATATAAAAACATCATACTTATAGGGGACATAAATATTAACATTTCACCCGGGAAAACGACACGCGTGCTCATAATTATCTTAACATTTGTTCGTTTTATGGACTTCTACCAGCTCATACTCATCCCACTCATCAAAGCGGTTCGTGTCTTGATCATATCATCATCAAAACCAATAAACAAGCAAAAACAATAGTGACTAATTCTTCCGTAACTGATCACCAAGCAGTATTACTTGCACTTCAAATTACATTACCCAGAAAAAATTGCACCCGCAGTCATTCTAAAATCGACATGACAAGACTAGACCATGACGTTAACAATATTAATTTTGACCCTGTTTACAATGCAAACGATGCAAATATTTCGTTAAATAATTTTATATGCTCAGTACAGCACGTAATAAATAAAAATACATACACAGTAAAAATTCCACAGAAGTACTACAACATCAAGCCGTGGATAACACCGGGTCTGGTTAGATGTATTCGTAACAGAGACATGCTTCATCGCAAATCAAAATTAGCACCAGAAAATAAGATTCTGCTGATGACATATAAAAGATATAGGAATTTTTGCAATAATTTAATAAAAAAGGTGAAAATTCAATACGATAAAAGTGAGTTACAGAAGGCAGGCAATAACAGTAAACTCATTTGGAAATTTATAAATTCAAATACTTTTAGATCAATTAATACTGACCCTCCACTTGACCTACTATCGACTGAGTCAGACCCTTCTATAGCATTGAATAATATCAATAACTACTTTGCAAATGTCGGTAAAAACTTGGCCGAAAATACCCTACAGTACAGAAACTCATCTACCTACGACTTGACTGCTGCATCACCATCAACTACACGTGATTCTTTCGTGTTGCTAGACACTGACGAGGATGAAATACTAACAATAATAACCGGTCTAAAGGATGTTTGTGCAGTCGGCTGGGACGGTATTCCTAATTACATACTAAAAAAATATAAATACATATTTGTGGGTCCATTAACATACATTTTTCAGCTATGTCTATCATCTAGTACTTTTCCAAAATCACTTAAAAAATCAATTATTACACCAGTTTTCAAATCGGGAGACAAAACCAATGTCACTAACTACAGACCCATTTCAATACTAACTGGTATCTCAAAGATATTAGAAAAAATTATTAATAACAGACTGGTAAAATATCTTGAGGAAAAAAAATTGCTTTCTGACAACCAGTTTGGCTTTAGACCAAAGAGATCAACTAACCAAGCGGTGCATGGACTACTATATTACCTCTAATCTGGACAATAGCATGTACACTATGGGTATCTTCTTGGACCTCGCCAAGGCATTCGACACAATTTCTATCTCAATATTATTGCGGAAACTCGAGTCACTTGGGATCAGAGGTAAGCAGTTACTTCTTTTCTCTGAGTATCTGTCCGACCGTTACCAGTCTGTAAAGATTGACCAATACATAAGTAAAGAAGTTAAAAATAGTTCTTATGGAATACCACAAGGAAGTATATTGGGACCTACACTATTTCTAATTTATATAAATGATTTATGTGAATTATCAATTAAAAACGGCATTCTAATGTCCTACGCGGATGATACAGCTCTTGTATTCTCCGCTAATACACGGGAAGAGCTCTACATACACGCTCAAAAAGGATTCACTGCTGTAACTATTTGGCTTTCTAGAAATTTATTAACACTAAATGCAGATAAAACGAAATATATCATGTTTACAATGAGAAACCATAACCTACATATGACTAATATAAATATTTATGCACACAAATGTACTACTCTTGGTGACTCAGCATGCACCTGTCCAGCGCTTATCAAAACTGATTTTATTAAATACCTCGGTGTTACGCTTGACGCAAATTTAAATTTTCGCAAACATATAGATTTATTATGCACAAGAGTCCGTAAATTAATGTACGTATTTAAAAACTTACGCAATGTAGCTGACTATATATTAATTAAACAAGTCTATTTAGCTTTGTGCCAATCAATACTAACATATTGCATAACATCATGGGGAGGTGCCGCTAAAACAATAATGCTTCCACTAGAACGTGCTCAGAGGGCCATCCTCAAGGTTGCGACATTTCGCCCTTTTAGATTTCCTACTCACGAACTTTACAAGGCATGTAAGGTTCTTACAGTACGGCAATTAAGTATATTAAACATCGTTCTTTTACAACATTCGGAACTCACCTATGACCGTGAAATTTTGGTAAAGAAAAGGAATAATCTGGTCTGCCAAACTAGACAAACTAAACATGCCTATTGCACTAGATTTTATATGTTTCTCGGACCGTTTTTGTACAATAAGCTAAATAAATCTTGTAATGTATACAGCCTTAGTCATAAGAAATGTTGTAACATGATGACGGAGTACTTGCTTAAATTAAATTATAATGACACAGAAAAACTTTTAGATGTACTGACGTAGTTAATTATTCTTTAAGATCAATTACTGTAAGTAGGTTACATAGTTTAATTTGTTTTATAATTTCTAAATTTTATATAAGTAGTTGATAATACAAACCTGTATAGATTTAACATGAATTGTAATAAAGTGATGACTTGAAACACAGGTTGCATAAACCTAGTTCAAGCAAATCGCGACAAATATTAAAATTAGCCCTATTATTTTTCTGTTCATAGTTTTAAGCAAAATAATGTATTATTATTATCTAGTTAATAGTCTAGCATAATTTTACTTTAATATAGTAATTAAAAAAAAAAAAAACATATTGTAAGTGGAGTACATTGAAATAAATTATTCTTATTCTTATTATTCTTATTCTTTTGATTTCGTTCACGGTTTTTTCGATCAAGAGGTCATCGTGCATAACGGCTGAGTTTCGACAACGAGGTCCATCAAGTTAGTTATTATTGTTTATTAATTTAGGAATTTTCAATATTAGACTTGGAATCTAAAATTGTGTAGTATTTGACCAATAATGCCAACTATGTAGGTACTTAAAATACATATATCCGATAGACGAATATCTTTGAAAAGAAAAAAAACTATGAACTATTGTTTTTTGTTTTCTTTCCTTTTATTTTTATTTTAAACTGTCAAACACCGCGAGGACACCGGTGACCGCAACCTAATGTTCTTTAATTGTGTCTATAATAACGGTACTCAAAGAGTTAAGTAGTTAATTTTATTTATTAGCTTTAGTGTATTTTAAGGTGTACATATTTATTGTTCTAATAAAATATAGAATGTTACTATAAACTAAAAACATCTCCATCATTATCTAGGTTAAAATAAAACAGATGATAGAACAAGACAATATTAAAGTGAATGACCAACTACAAACTACATAATATGTATATGACACATCTATCCGGTCGGCTACCAGCCACATCGGAGGCTAACCGCACTCATACGAGTAGCCGTGACATTGTCCCGCGCTAACTTGTGCTAACTCGACCCTACCGCGCTCAGATTTGCGAACCTGAGTTTTAATTGTATGTTAATAGAGTATGTTTTATTGAATACTACGTTTTTTATGTTTTGAAGGGAAAAGTAAGTGTGTTTTCTTTGGACTGAGAACAATTCTTAACTGAGACTAAGACTACTAACGAATAGTAGTCTCATCGTGAAAATGGGTGATGCTATTATAAACCACTGGCATCATTTGACAATATCTTAATCGTATTTGTTTTTTATTTTGTCCCTGTTCAAAATGTAGCACTCAACTAAAAACTTTTGGGGCCAAAACGAGACTTTCGTTAGGAAGGTGTTGCACTTTGTGGAGGTTGCAATTTCTGTCTTCAGATACCTATTGTTATAAAAATCTGACCCCTATTGCATATTAACAACAAGAGCCATAGATCAAGCCTTGTTAGAAGACTTAGGGCCGATTTTCCCAGCGCCAGTTAAATTTTATCAAAGGAATAAGTTTGAATATTTGCCAATTTTTTTATACTGAAAACTGTTAACTGTCAATTGTATTCTACAGTTATGAATTAATTGATGATTGGAAAATTGACAAAGTATTACTGGGTTTAAAAAAAATTCTCAGTAATAGCACGGAGCCTGGAATTTTGCCCGATATATGGCAATAGGCTCACCCCCTGTTACATGGGACTCTTAACATAAATAGTGAAAAGTGGGTTTTACATTGTACAGTGGCATAATGTGTACCTCTGCCTACCCCTTCGGGGATAAAAGGCGTGATGTTATGTTGTATGTACCTATGTTGTTATGTTGTTGGAAAATTGGCCTTAAAGACAATAGAGGTAAATAACTTACCAAGCATAATATTATCCCTGATGATCTGCACATGTCGATCTCGATCGGGTCTGGTGTGTTCGTGCCAGAAGCCGACCACGTGGCCCAGCTCATGGACTACAATGCCGAACTTATCGCAATTCTTCCCAATGGAGATCGCTTGAGCACCACTGCCGCGCTTCCCGACGAAGGAACAACAACTGTGGAAGAAATAGTATTTTATGACTGTCATCAACCACTGAGAGCGTGCGTGAGAGGGCACCTAAACTAACTCCTGAACTTTACTGTTAGGTGTCACTTAGAGGTTGGTAAAACGGAAATGTCGTTAAGTGTCACCTATCTAAGCTTAGGGGATCATTTAGGAGAGATGGTGAAAAAATGTTAGGGACTAGCAGTGCAGTCGCCGTGTTGTGTATCACGGAATGCTGCTTATGAGTATGAGCCCTAGTATGACTTGAAATTAGTCAAGTTCCTCGTCAAACAATACGTGAGTAAGCGGAAAAACATAATAATTAATGCTTGGTTAGCTCAACTATTCACTAATTCAAACAAACAAATCATTTCTATACTCTACTTCTGACATCATAGTTTCGTTGTATAATGCCATATGATATTTATTTCTATCAAACCAATAAAAAGATTACAAATGGTGTCCTGATTCCGTAATACTGACTGTAACGGTGACAACATAGGAAGGAGTTTAGGTGTGAACAGTGGCATACTTAGTCGTCAGCTACATGATTTCATATCTAGAAATAGGTTAGAATATAGTTCATTTTTCAACAACATAGTACTTATGCCTATATACTTAAGGTTTTCATAATATTTGTCTTTTCATTACTAAAATATACAATTTATTTAAAATTCAACATTTTGAATTTATTAAACACCTGAAATTCTACAAGTAAAAGGGTTGATGAATAATCACAAAAATAGCCTCAAAAATATTTGCCCAAAAATCAAGGCATTATTTAACCTCAACATTGGACCTTATTAACATAACATTCAGTTTAAAATTGCAAAATAGACTTACCCGCAAGGACGTTCAGTAAAAACAATGTAGTCTTTATGGAGATCGGCGTCTCTTTCAACGAATTTGACGCAAGTGAAGTTCTCCCAGTGTCTCATGGCTTGTTTGAATAGTGACTTGTGAGCGCCACTGAAGTTCCCATCGATCTCGTATGGAATCACGCCGTGCTCCCAAATTCTTTCCTTCCTATTCGTCGCTGCACGTATTGAGCGGTGACGCTTTTTTGCCGCCTGTAGGAAATTGTGATTATTTGTAGATTGGTTAAAATTTACATTGTACAGTGGCATAAACTGCCGAAATTTGCACCTCTGCCTACCCTTTCGGGGATAAAAAGCCGTGATGTTATGTTATGTACAGTTTTGTTAGTCGTTTTTAATTTTCGACAACATGAGTGGTGACTTTCGTTTTTGGTGGTAGTTTGTATAAAGCATCGTCTCATATATCTAATATTAAATTCCATTTTAACTCATATTATGAGTTGTCAGAAGTTTTAGTTTTTTTCTCTCTTTGCAACCCGGCAATCTGCTGTGCACAACAATAAGCCACTACATAGTATGATAAATGAATATGTTATTTTATAGACACAGGGATTTTGGGTTTGGGCCTCCGGTAACCTCACTCACATGATGAAACACGAAACATAACGCACAAGAAACATGAGCAGGCAAGCACATTGTTTCACGTCGGTTTTCTGTCAAACCGAAACTATCACCTATCAGCTCGACCAGAGGGTTGAGCCGACCCATTCGTACCGAAGCATGACTCTTCCACACTTAAATTAATTACAATAAATTGTCTAAATTAAACATCAATCTAAATGAAATATTAAATCAAAGGGACAACGGTTTAGGTAACTCGGTCTAGTAAAGATTATTCAAGGTTTAAAATTAGAAACAAAGATATTGCTATGACTAACTGACTATTAATAGTCTATTTTTGGACCAAACTGTCTATTCAAAATGAATCGTCTATTTCCCATCAAATGTCTATATCAATTAGCGGAGTGAGTGTTTCAAACTTATCTATTAATTAGTATGTCTATAAATAAACTTCTAATCCTACTTGAGATTTATAAATAGAGATAAAATGAGAGTTATTTGTATAAGCGACGAACTATTTTGAACCTTTTCCCTTAAATTATAATGAGCTATTTATTTACTTTACACTTCCTATGTTAATAGAGTTGGCTTCTGTTTACGTGGAATTTATAGTGCTTTTTTACGGAATAAGCCGGTAAACGAGCAGACGGATTACCTGATGGTAATCAATCGACGCCGCTCATGGACACATAACACCAAAGGCGTTACAAGTCCGTTACCGGCCTTTTGGGAAATAGGAATTTGGTGATTGTGAGGGATTCAGGGATTTGAGATACTGGGGAGGATGGGGGGGGGGGGGGGGGGGGTAATTGGGCTTCCGGTAATCTTACTCACATGACGAAACACAACGCAAGCGTTGTTTTACGTCGGTGTTCTGTGAGGCCGTGGTATCACTCTGGTTAAGCCGGCCCAATCGTGCCGAAGCATGGCTCTACCACACTTGTGTAAGTATGTGAAATCTACATGTGTAAGTATGTAATTTTAGTTTTACCTACCTATATAAACTATGCATGTTTTATCTGAATCTTTTGCTAACAGCATCCAATGTATTTTAATGAAACCAATTCTGAATGGTATTTATGTTTCTATCTGTATGTAAAACTAGTATGTCAAATGATCAAAGTATGTTTGTTAACTAAACATTTCCAGAATCCATTAATTTCGGTAATTCTATAATCAATTATTATGCAGATGGTCTCAATGAGAACGCCTTAAAGCTAGCCCAATCACCGGATTAACATAATTGCTGGTAATTGATTTTAATCGCTGACAACGTGGTAACAAAGCTTAAATTGGAATATCTTTGTCATCTACATGCAGTTTAATTATATTGCCGTGATTAATGATGGTGGTCGGAGAGTCGAACTTGCCTTCTGTGAGATTGTCGATTTGGAATTCAATTGAGGTATTTGCGTTCTGATTTTCTATAGGTGAATAATAGCATAGTGTATGTATGATACGAATAAAAAGAATTTCAAATGGACTTGTGAAATAAGAATTAATTTTGTATTGGAACACTTGTCAATATCCCGCGGTGACGCTTTGTGATGTACGAAATTGTGAATTCAATATAGGTTGACTAGAATTTGCATTGCACAGTTTTGTTTAGTAATAGTAGTGGTTGTTATTAACCGACTTCAAAATGAAAAGAAAGGAGAACCGATGTAGTTGCGGTTTTAAGAAAGTGTTTGTTACACTCAGGAAATTTTTTTCAGCATATTAATTACCAGACTTCAAAAAAAAAGGGTTTGAAGTCGGTTTTTTAAACGTAGTTTTTTAGAGACAAGGTGTTGCGGCTTCATTATATTGCACAGATGTAAGTAAGTTAACAAATGTTGAAAAGTTAATTATTATGTTTTCGGCTTACTCACGTAACTGTTTGATGAGGAACTCGACTGTTTTCACACAGCATTCCGCGGTTCACGACAGTCGCCGCGTCGCGGATAGCGGAATGCTGCCAATGAATATTAACCTTTAGCACGGCTTGAAACTAGTCGAGTTCGTGGGTAAGCCGAAAACATAATAATTAATTTAGTATGTCTCACAAAAGTTATAATATGAATAGGTATTGAAAGCTAAAATTAAATATCATTTCATTTCTTCAAACATGAAACGATATTTAATGACATGTTTTTCTGTATTGGTCTAGTGACAATGCAACCGAAAATCTCAGAAACAAATTATGTTAATACATTAAAACCATGGTTTCTTACCTCACTGCCATTATAATAATTACTTTCAACCGCTTCTAAGTCATCAGTATCGTTGCGAAAAAACCAGTTGTCAAAATTTTGTGTTTCTGTCTCATTTAAAATGTTTTTTGGTGGTGGTTTCAGTTCGAACCTCTCTTCGAACTCATGTTCAGGAATTTCGAACTTCTTTTCAGTCCTTTCTCCACTGCTGTGCTTCTTGTGGTGACGAAAAAACTTTTTCCTTACGAATTGAGAAGTTGTTTTATTTTCAGAAGAATTTAACGTGTTCTGTCCTGCTCTTTCGCTTGAGTGGATATTTCTGAGTCTGAAATGAAAATTTATGTTTAGAAACAGTTCGTTAGTGAGTTATTTGCTATTATAAATGTCGGACAAAATATATATATTTTTAATTTTTAAATATTGTTTCTTCTTGACAGGGTTTGTGTCTAATGATAGAAAAAAAGGTTTTACACACAATATATAATATGTAAGTCTGTGTAACCCTAGCCGCCGTAGACCTAACGGGTTACCGGGGCTCCAGCTTGAAGTGCAGGAGTAGCAACAAGGTAGTGTTTAGTCTCACCCGGGCGGGAGAAGACATTGGATGATTTTCCCCACTCAAAAAATGTTTGTATCTAATGTTAGTATTAAACTTCTAACTTCTCTAAATTAAGACTAAACAAAGTACTGATAGGTAAATACTAATAAAAGAAAAAATACAAGCTCATTAAAAAGAAAGTAAATAGACAAGGATAGCAGATGGTAAGTCGAGGAGACTAGTTTAAATAAAGTCAATGAATGGACCTACCAAGGCTATGCAGATTGCGAATCTAAATGCACTGCATTTCTTAGAGCAACGTCTGTGATTTTAGACTCGTTGAGTACGCTGGATTTTGTAAGAACCTTTCAATATACCCTGTGCTTCATGTTAAGTATATTGAGTGGAATCGCTGAATTAAAGTAATAAGAATAAATACGTAATATGTAAAGAGGTGTATATTGTACGAATCTATGCAATACACAACATCCCTACATCTTTCGAGATCCATTTTTTTTTTCAGCCATGATCGTTCCACTGCAAGGCAAAGGCCTATGAAATTATTTATATGCGTTAACAATACTGTACTGTACTATGGAATATGACAGTATTATGGTTTAATTACCCTAATTATTTAGTGGTTGCATAAGTAAATATGTACTTGCAATTAAGAATGGATCCAAATGTCAAATTAATAGCTGGGGCAGACATAATTATCGCTCATCGTACCAATATTATAAATGTTAAAGTTTTTGTTAATCTTTTACGTGAAAACGGCTAAAAGGATCGGAATTAAATTTGGAGCAGGGGTAGATTATCGTTTGGAATTACACATAGGTTGTTTTTTATCCCACAGGAATACGGACGAAGCCGCTAGCAGAAGCTAGTAAGGCATAAACATTGAACGCAACGACGACCGGTACAAAGAATATATAAAGGTAGCTTCATTAGGAAAGTAAAACTTTAAGACTTCCAGACTAGAGGAATCGCTAAAAAGTGAACGAAATTTAAATGGCAGCATAACTGTCAGGGATTCAAATTTTATAGGACAGGAAGGAAACATAGTCGGCGCAATTACGAGACGAGGCTTATTCATAGGATTCAATAGAGTTTTTAGTCCCGATCCTTTGGACGACGGCGAAGGAAAAAGTGTGCAGTGAACAGACACTAATGACTCTTTATTAAGACACGATGGATGGTTGAATAATGTTGGGGTGGAAAATTTAGATTCAAGTTCATGTGAAGTTCTTTGACCTTTAATATGCTTCTAGATAAGATGTGTTACAGATCCATTTACACAGTGATATAAAATTTGAAAAGGTGTAGTATTCAAATTGGAAGATAATTCGCAATAAAGACAGAGAGAGAGGAATGGAATTCGAGAAAGTATTCGGAAATCAAAACAGAACATTATTGTTCCGACTAGTTGGATCATTCTTCTTATGTTTGTAATTTTTAGGGCTAGCTTGCGGGTGGCGAGCACGGGTGACTCGACATCCGACCAAAACCAGAACAGAACGTCGCGTAGCGTTCCGCGCGCGCCTCAAGGAGTCATCAGACCACCACAGATGGGGCTCAATAGGCCTGAAGCCGATACGGAGCCGCGGAGGACTTTACTGGTTGCCACGGCTCCGGCTCGAAATGTAGGAACGGGATAGTTTTTAGTCAGTAAGAGTCTGACACTCCCTCTCGCTTCACCCGGGCGGGGGAAGTCATTGGATGATTTTCCCCCCTAAAAAAACTGCTGGTATAGGCTATAAAATGTGTATGAGTAGAAGGAGGAAAACAATAGTATTGAAACATGTACTATTATATTCTATTCTATATACTATCTCTTAAATAGTTTAAAATAGAAATAGTATGTAAAACTAACAACATTAAATAAATACTTTTGCATGATTTTAAACATTAAATTATAAATGATGCCAACGATAAAAGACAAGATATATTATACAGAAATTAGGCTAAGTCCAAAAGAAATCGCTGACTTGTTGACATCTAAACCTTTTATTGTTGAAAATGAAATAATAGGAACAAATTGTTTGTGACATAAGATACAAGGAAAATGGGGACAAATCAAATTGTTCCGTAATTTGATTGCGACGGAAGAACACAGATATAAATCACGAAACAATGTTCTTAGTTTACATGAATACGGTTTCTCATTCATTCAAGGTAAGTAATTTTTATACCTACTTATGTTAAGGTAGACCCAGGGCCGTCTTAGACTACGCTGGGGCCCTTGGGCACACAACAATTCGGGGCCCTTTTGAAATGTTTCTTCTTTTTTAACGTTGCACCACACTAGGATTTTCTCCTGTATCGTGTGTGCATTTACAAATATACAAGTTCTCATATACATGACACCTAGACCCGAAATAACAATTTGTGGATCACACAAAGGTTTGCTACGTGCGGGAATCGATCCCGCACACGTTGCCGGGCGGCCGGTTGCCGCGGAATATGTAACGGGTGTGTGTTGGTCGTAGAAATTGTCGGTCATTCGGGGCCTCTGAAATGGGGGCCCTGGGCACGGGCCACGAGTGCTCTTATTGTAAAGACGGTACTGGGTATATCAACTTACTTCCGAGATTAGCTATTTAAATTTTCGGAATAAGTTGTATACACATACATATCGAACAATTAATCGATCGTAGTACCCAAATTTTGAATTGATATAGGTATGTTATTAATTTCGGATATTATAATATGATTTGTAGTATTGTCTACGGGTGCCCCGTCGATTATCATTATTAATTTATCGGTTCCAACATTTATGTGGGTCAATAATATAATAAATAATAAACTGGCTAATTGCCAACCCCTTTGTAGAATGAAATCTGTGATATTGTGTTTTAAACTAAAATAATGTTCAAAAAAATAAAGTTCCTTTTTATTTCTAAACGTAAAGTAATAAAAAGATGTTGAGAGCTCGTTAAGAGTGAATTTAATTATACAGCATTTAATAAATAAGAATTTTATTCCATCCCCTAGATTTTTCATTCCGTTGCACTCTTAAGATAAATTAAAGTGAGCAAGAAATGTGAGAATAGTATCTTAGGTATATTAATAAAAAGTTATGCAGGAATTTATGAAAGAAATATTCTCATTTAGCTGTATTCATAACTAACTATAACTTTAAGTTTTGCTAGTGATTTGTAGATTGATGAAAGTAATAATTATAATTTAAGTATATCGTGTTTTTAAAATAACTATCTTGAGACATGTCTCATCAGTATGCTGAATTAACTAAAAATTACGAGTTACTCACATAAATATACTGAGAAAAGTTCTACTAGGTTCGAGCCACAGAGGGGCTCTTTCTCATGAGCAACGTGCGCGGCCGCGGCGATGTCGCGCAGCCTACTGGAAGTGAAAGAGTCTCTCTTTGACTCGAAATTAGTAGAGGTTTTCTCAGTATATTTATGTAACTCGTAATTTTTAGGTAATTTATATCATGTTAAAGACGATGTTGATTTATCAATATCTCATATTCTTGTGTTCGAAATGTCATAGAACTAATTTAAAAATATTTTGGAAAGCATAAGATGTAAGACAAGATAGAAAGACAAAACGTGAATTCTGAAGTAAAATATTAAAAAAAAGAACAGAGAAAAGGAGAATGGAAGTCAAAGCCATACCGTCTTCCATTACCGTGTCTCCGTCTCCTCCGCCGGTACCGTCTTCCACCAGTCTCATCCATTAAGTTCTGTAGACTCTCTGTTGGCCTCAGCAAATTAGGCTCCGACAACTTCTCATCTTCTAAATCTGTCTTGTTTATCAATTTCTCTTCGTCCTGCTCGCTCGACGGCAAAACCCCATTAGTGGGAGCAGGAGCCACAGTGATGTTATCAGGCATACCCTTGAACTTGATGTTATTTTTAGAATCTCCCGTAATTTCTCTACTGTTGCTCTGTATCTTATTAGTGATCTCATCCATTTTGTTAGACACATTAGTGATTTGTAGATTAGGATAGAACTCGTCTAAATTAAGTATGTGGTTCGTTGATACGTTTACTACAAGGACTCCATCTTGTTCCAAACTCTCTGATTCAGTCAGGTTATCCTGTACCGTTGTTTGGTTCAAGTGGTCCGATTTGGTTTGATTAAACGAATTAGTGTAATTATCTAACATTTCATCTGGAGGTAGTTTGCCGTTTTTTAACAACAGCGATTTGTCTAAGCCTGGAGGTAAAGCCTGAAATAGAAAATGTTCCATTAAATAAAGTGGTTCAGTAAAACTGACAATAGACTATTACCAATTCAACCTTTCAAGTAAATTGTTTATCTTGAACAACCAATCACTAGATGGCTAGGACGGCAGGCAGGCACGGTTCAATTTAAAAGCACAAAGTAAATTGCCAACGTAACAAACACTTTATCAAAAAATTAAGTGTGTTGGCATCGATATTTCTGAACATTTTGAATATTAGAATTTCTTATAAAATACGCCCGCAACAGGTGGTGATCGAAGTTAGTGCCTGCGTAAGACAAGCCATAGCTTTCATAATATTTTTGATGGCGCAAACTTCAGAGGATCTATCAAAAATAATTTGATGGAGTTTACAGAGTTCTTAAGGATTTGAGTAATTACATGAGTTTGCATAAGTTTGAGTCACTTTTAAAGATAATCATTATTTATGTATTTTTATCATATCATGCATCAGTAATTTTTTTTTAATTTCAGTTTTAAGGACTACTAGAAATTGCAACTGAGAAACTCTTTAACACGTCTTTCATAATGGAAAGTAATAAAAAGGCTACACCGATATTTTTTTTTTTCTTACCTTTGTCATCAGCACAGCTTCATTGTACTTCTTAGGCTTCTCTTGCGATAACGGCAGAGGTTGTTTGGTCCTCTTCCTCAATATGTCTGGTAGTCCCTCCTCTTCTACCTGCAGTCCCTCTAGTAGCACCTCTTTCTTCAACCTCTCCACTTCTTCTTGAAGTGATTTGTTTATTTTGTTAACTGGAGCACTCGTTGGAGGTTTGAAGTAGTCCACACTTGGTATTGCAATGTCCCCTTGGAAGTTATCTGTGGACAAAGAGAATGGAATAAGTTTAGTATTTTTTTACTATTTATATTAGTTGGGTGGTGAGCATGGAAGGTTATCTGTTCTCAGGTTTTGTATAGTTAATAAAGATGTAACAAAGTTTTCCGTTTCAGTAGTATAAAGTCAAGTACAAAACATATTCGGCCCTATTTTTATTTCCATTATTTCTTTTTTGATTTATTATGTATATCTAAATAATTGACGAGAAAAAAATGTATCTCCGAACTAACACCGCAAGTTTCACAACTTTAATATATAGGTAGTTGACAAAGTTATTATTTTAATAAAATAAATACACAGTATGACTCAAAGCTGCACACAATAAAAACAAATAATAAGACCAAGGTTATAAAAATAATAACTAGATAGTGATAAATAAATCGCTCTATCGTTGAAATAACAATTCTCTCAAAGATAAATATTTACATTATTCATATTACATAGCCAACAGAAAATATTTTAATTCAATACATTTTTATTTTAGAATCTGCATAAAATAATAGAATACTAAGACCATAAAATAATAAAATACTAGGATTATAAATGAAATTGAAAATACTAATAAAAATATTTTTTAATTTCCATCACATTATATTTTAACTGACTTTAAAAAAGGACGTTATCAGTTTGACCTGAATGTACATATGATGTATGTTGGTGCGTGATTATCTCGCAATTATCTATTCTGATTTTGATGCGGTTTTAGTAGGTATAGGTATTAATCAACTAACTGCAAAAACAGAAGCAGTTGAAGTAGGTTTTATTTAAACGCAGTTTATAATAGAATTAGTTATTATTAAATAAAATTTTGTAACAATAAAAGGGCCTGATACAGAAGGCAGTTCTCCTAGAAACGGCACGTATCGTGAGAAGGTTTCTGTCTCTGGAGCCCTAACCACCGGTAGCTTGGACCATGCTTCCGCTCCTATTTTTTACATTTTTAAATATTATTTTTATTTTGTAAGTAGTATTTAAAAATGTAATTTATAGAAAATTTTAAATAAATATGTAAATAATAATTTACCGTTTATTTTCCAACCTTTCTTTTGTGTTCAGATCCGGTTTCCAGTTGAACAGTATTTTATATTCAGTCCAGTGCGAAATTAATAAAAATAACATTTCATATTTTTATGTGTGATAAATTTGATGGAATGAAATGGAATACAGTTTTTATTTAATTCACACGTGCCATTCAATTTATACATTTTCGAAATACAAAACATTGTTTTAATTATTATTGTACACTGGACGACCGCCTTTTTTACAACTCCTGATTACTGGCTCCATCCAAAGGTTGTCTGTAAGAAATTGCATTCTTCGATAAGACCGCCCATTGTACACATTTTTTTTATGTTTATTTTTCTATGTATATTTTTATGGTGTACAATAAAGTGTGTAAATAAAATAAACATCATTTTTCTACTTATAATGGTTAGGTATGAACCGAGTTTTTGTAATTCGACCGGGAAAGAATGAATCTGTTAATTTATAGCAACTATTTTAAACCCAGTGGCACTATTGACAGTTTAAAAAAACACGATTTTCTGATCCTTATGACCACTTTGAAACCTTTGACTGAACCACTAAACTTTCGATATTACTTATATGGTAAATGTCATGTACAACATATCACGAATAACCTCGACTCATATAACTAAACTAACTACTATAAGAGACACCTACATAAAAAAATGTATCAAAATTACATAACTAGAAACAAAGTGCACTATTCAATCCACAATATTTCCTTGTTCTGAACAGAACGTAAAGGACATTTAAAAAACACTAAATACAAAATCTATGTAGATTATGCAAGCTGAACCGATAAAAAATTTATTCCGTAATTGGATAGCAACGGAGAGTCGCATTGCGGTGGACTAGTAACTAGCAGCCTAACTTAATAGCTGACATACATCTATTCTATTATAATATATCGGTTTTGATGCATACTCGATGCCCATTGGCTGTCAACACCAATATACATGATGTTGTGTGTTACATTTGATTGTACAGTGGCATTAAGTTTATGAATGAGGTATATGAATGAGAGTATATTAACCTGTATCAAAATATAATGAAAAAGTTGACCGAGTACTTTTAAAGCCCTTTTGTTATATTTAAACAATACCAAGTTCGAAACACAATTTCCTAGACACAAAATAAATCACAATGCATTCCACCACACGTCATCATTGTTCCAAATTCAAATTTAACGGAACGCGTCACCGATTGCATGCGGCCATTAACAACAGCGTACATCTGCTGCGATCATAAAATTTAATCGCCGACCCGTGTCTATGTCCCAGATGTTGCCTAACGCTGGCTGGCTATTAATTAATTGCGTATGTATGCTTACACGGCGCGTATTGGACATGACGGTTTACGATGGTACCGCCGCATGAATATTCATGGTGTGGCCATGTTTGAGGATTGAATTTGATTATGGCACCCGACTTAGGTTTCGCGTACGTTGTTCAAATCAGCTGTTAATTTAATTAACGTTTGTCATGGGTTTAATATTGTTTTAATTTGTTTTTATTGAGTTTGTTAGTTGTTTATGTTGTGAGGTAGGCTAGTAGTTTGGGATTAATAGTATGCTAGTAAAAGCTATTAAATTATTCCTTAAGTTACATTTTTATATTACATTTTTCTTAATTTTAATGAATAATTGAATTCTACATGTAAAACTCTACCTTTATATATAATTCTTCTGTGAGTGTGTATGTCACTGAACTTCTCTCAAACGACTGCACCGATTTTGATGAAATTTTTGTGTGTGTTCAAGGGGATCTGGGAATGGTTTAGATTCACAAATCATCCCGGCAGATGGCGCTGCAGTCGATGTTTAGGTTATTCATCCTAAACGGCTGAACTAATATAAATGAAATTTTGTTTATACATTCAAGTGGATATGCAGGACGTCTGTTGGGTCCATGTGTAGTGTTACACACGGACCTAGTGTTACATAAAATAGTTAAATAAACAAAAAATATAGTTTTCGTAAAAAAATGTTCGGTAGGCAGGTTCAACTATAAAAAAAATATTTTAACAAAATTACTGACTAAAACTAGAGCTTTGCAACACCATAATGGTAGAACAACTCGCTACGTAGCCGCTACGCAAACACTTCGTAGCACTCGACATAAGTTTGGATAGTGCTACGCTTGCTACGCTCGTAGCGCGTAGGCCGTATTGAAGAATACTACTGTAATAACTGTTTACATAAAATAATATTTGTTTGACTGTAAGATTGTCAAATTGTCTGACTTAGGATCTATTAGACTTTATGAGAAATGTAAGCCATAACTGGAGAAATATTGTAAAAGTCATTGTACGGGACAACTACAAATGATACGATGATATAGTGATAATATAACTTTAATGATAGTTACATGATACAAATGAGTAACCGCGGCGAGAATCGAACGCGAACTGAAGTAAAGTGCGCTCGCGGTACAAAAGTACTTATTCTACAATATTCCAATAATTGTACGGGTGGACCGTACATGCTCCCAGGCACGAGAGACTAAGATAAAAAATCAAAAAATAACATACGTAAATGTAAGAATTTAAAAAGACAATGATAATAATAGAGAGCACAATATTGGTTGACACACAAACTTAAAGTCTATAAAAGTGTTATTTATTTTAACTTAAAACAGATTCACGTAACATAGGCGATGTAGCCCTGTTTTGTTTACACGCACTTGAAATTGCACTGAGCTCAATATCACCGGGTCCCGATAGCTCATTTACACTAATTACACTAGCACTCTGAAGCTGCTGACGAGGCGAGCGCGCGGGCAGAGCCACGCTGCGCACACGCCGAAGACGCCGCCACACGTGCACGGCTCCTGCCGCACACAGGGCGAACGCCAATAAGTATATCACCGTGTAATGATGCAAGTCGTGATATGAGAACCCGTCGTTATAATCTTCATCAATGCTCGTTGAATCTTTCATCTGACTCAACTGATCGTGGACTTTCTTTACTAGACCTTGGGTCTCGATGTGGGTATGCTCAGACTGTTCATTAATTGCACCAATAGGTATTGATAAATTGATTATATTGTTGATGGGTGGGATATCTATTCTCAGAACGTCTGCCGTAGTCTTCAAAGTATTGGATAGTAGTTTATGTGAATAAACTGTGTAAGTATCGCCTTTGATGACGCATCCATTTCCGAGCATGATAACGCCGGCCTTAGTTAATTGTTCGGCCGTAACTTGATATTCGCACATGATTCTTATGGAGCACAGTCCGCAACAAAAATAGAGATATGTATTTATTTTATTAAGTTCTGTCCAATGATTTGTGCAGATAGTAGATGCAGTCCTGCAACGATTAGATTTATTTTCTCTAATGCAGAGGTTTTCATCTGACCTCATTTGATGAACTGGACCCTTTAAAGGGCAGATGTACGTTTCTGTGTCATAAAACATACAGGTCTGGACTTCGTTTTCCGTCATTGGAATATATGCATCCTTCTGTAAATTAATTGCGAGAATATCTGCTATGGGAATGATACTGATCATTTTACTTTCAACTTGCTGTGGTATTGTTATGATCTTGTAGATGTCATAGCTGTCTCTGCTTACTAAGGGTATTTTTACTTCGAAGATTATTAGCTGCTGCGTAATTCTTGCTTTAGTCTTTAATAAATGATACAATTTAGATAAATCCGACTGAATATTATCTATTGGAAGAGTCAATTCTGTTGCTAACTGTCCTGTTATGATATTAAGTTCATCCGTCAGCTGTTCAGGTGTTAAAAGGTGAATATTGAAACCTGTATGGTGTAGGTTCATAATAGTATCCACGATGTTTTCTTGGATTGTTTTTAAGTTTATTAGAATGCTGTTAGCAACGATGGAAGAAATACTGAAACTGTTAGAAATTAGTGATTCTTGAACTCCTCCCTGAATTGTGTTAAATCCCTTCTCTAAGCTGATCAGGTGCTGATTGAAAACCTTGTGATGT